TTTTGTGATAAAGGGGAGAAAGCATATTCTAGGTTATAAATATATACATACATTCTGGTTCTGATTATTTGAGTTACCATATATTAATTATACATAATAATAGGCTTCATTATGGCATTTTCATGTATACATGTATTTTATTGTCCCTATCCCCCTTTCTGTCCACTTTCTACCCAGAACCTCTTATACTTTCCTGTATTCATTTATTATTTCTGTTGTTGTTGACTGTTTTTGGTGACCCTGAGTTTCCTAAGGATTGCTTGCAGGAGTGTGGTTAAGTTCCCATGGAGCATGGGCTTCTTGCGGTGGGTGCTCCACAGAAGAACGTGTTGGAACCTCGCCAGGCAGCCACCTATAGATATTGAGGGAGGGGTGAATGTTTGTGAGCCTCTTTCCCGGCAGCTACCATTGTCTGCAGATAGGTCCTGGGGCTCATGGCTCCTTTCTTTCCATGGCAGGATGTTGACAGGCCCAATCTTTAACTTTTTTTTTTCCAAGACAGACAGGGTTTCCCTGTGCAGCCCTGGCTGTCCTGGATGTGCTTTGTAGACCAGGCTGGCCTCAAACTCAGAGGTATCCTCCTGTCTCTGCCTCCCCGAGTCCTGGGATTAAAGGCATGTACCACTAGACCTGTTTTGTTTTTTGTTTTGTTTTGTTTGAGATAGGCGTTCTCTGTATAGCCCTGGCTGTCCTGGAACTCACTCTGTAGACCAGGCTAGTCTTGAACTCAAAAGAGATCCATCTGCCTCTGCCTCCCTACTTCTGGGATTACAGGTATACATCACAGCCCATCTTCAATCTTTAACTTTTAAAAATGACATTTATTTATTTAGCATTATGCTTGCGCAGAACAGCGAACAACTTATGGAAAGTTGGTTTTCTCTTTACACTATGTGGGTGCTGGCTATTGAACTCAGGTTGTCTGGAATGACAATAAAGTACCTTCACCCCTAAGCCATCTCACCAGTCTAGGTGGGTCTGTTCTTGCACGGGTCTTGCACCAGTAAACACTGCTCCTGTGAGATCAAAACTGCACAGGCACTGCTATGTTCTGAAGCACGTTACCTCATTCCCCTTCCTCTGGCTCCTACATTATTTCCTTCCCAACTTTTACAATATGAAGGAGGCAGTGATCTGGACAGCCCACCTGTGGCTGTGTTCCTTGACGAGTTACAACTTACACCAGACTTCTGATGCACTAATCTGTAACAGCATGAGGGAGATGGCAGTTTGGTAGGCATGTCATGTCTATTTAGCTTTCCTGCCGAGGTCTAGGACGTCCCTGGCTTCCAGCATTTGGAGGGGCTTATGGTACCTATTGAATCCTTCCCTTGGAGTAGATCTCACATATAACCCGAGAGGTTGATTTCCTCATTACTCATTTAGCGCTGTTGGCTGTGTACTTCTTGCCTGCCTGGCTGGTCAGTAGTATAGCACCGAGGGTCCACAGCTGAGAGTTCTCCCTGGGCAGCCTGCGTAGCACCTTTTAGCAGAGCTAGCTTTAGAGAGCTAGCTGTTGAGGAGGCTTCCATCCTTGTTTTAGCTTGACTTCTGTAATCGTTTTTGTTTGGTTTCTGAGAGGCTTATATTTATATATATATAAATATATATATATATATATATATATATATATATATATATATATATATATAGCCCAGATGTCCCCGGCTGGCCTTACATTCCAGATCTTCCTACCTTCATCTTCAGAGTGTTGGGATTACAGGCTTGTACTGCCATGCCTGGCTTAGTTCTGATTTTATGAAGCAGAGTGACTCCACAATTAATATGCTTGCTTGGATAGCTTTCTAAAGCCTATGAGTAGAAACAGTATTTAGAGGGTTTAGCTTTTGCTGTGGTGTAAAGGGGTTATTGTTTAAGCTGGCGTCACAACCTGGTAAAGATAGAACTAAAGGCAGGCCTACCCAGGGGAGCAGCACTTCATCTCTGGTGAGACTGAGAAACAGTGATGACCTCCTTTAAAGTATTCATTCTCTGCTTTGCAGTTTCTGCATCATGCCTTCTTCCTGTCTGTCACACAGCTTGCCAGGCTCCTAGAAGCCTTTGCTGGTTTTTCACCCTTTGTACCCTCAGGCTTATGGTCTGAACATGTTTTCTCTGGTCTGCTACTGCTCCTCTCTTTCTTCTCAAGTCTTATCTGCAGGCTCCTCCCCCTTTCCCTCCCCAATCTGCCTTTGCTTTCTGCGGCCCTTGGTACTTTCTCAGGAACCTTCCGTTCCTCTTCTCCTTGCTTGGCTTCATTGTTGACTCTGCTGAAACTTGCAGGGAGTGTGCAGAGTGGTGTTGATATTCCAGCAAGTGTTTCCTGATACCTGCTGCCCTTGCATGTGTGTCCTGTGTCCTCAGTCAGCTGGGCCTGCACTGCCCTCCGGTCCCCCTCTGGGGTGTGACACACACCTTCAGCATTTCTAGTCCCCTGTGCCCACCTCCTGCTCAGCCTATGTGGAAACCTCAGTGGGCCTCTTTTTTTTTTTTTAATTTTTTTTATTATTAAGTACATTTTATTAACTCTGTATCCCACTCCCTTATTCCCTCCCAGTCCCACCCTCCCTCATCTCCTCCCTGCTCCTTTCCAAGTCCACTGATTGGGGAGGACCTCCTCCCCATTCATCTGACCCTGTTTTATCAGGAATCTTCAGGACTGGCTGCAAAGTCTCCCTCTGTGGCCTAGCAGGACTGCTCCTCCCTTCGGGGGTGGGGAGGTCAAAGAGCCTGCCATTGAGTTCCTGTCAGAAATAGTCCCTGTTCCCCTTACTATGGGAAACCAATTGGTTACTGAGCTACCACAGGCTTCATCCGAGCAAAGGTTCTAGGTTATATCCATACATGGTCCTTGGTGGATTGTCAGTCTCAGAAAAGACCCCTGTGCCCAGATAGTTGGTCCTTGTGGAGCTCCTATCCTTTCCATGTCATACTAACTCCCCTTTTGCCGAAGGTTTGGTTATGAGTCTTAGTATCTGTTTTGAAACACTACTAGTTAGAGTCTTTCAGATGCCTTCTGCAGTAGACTCCTGTCATACGTCCAATGCACATCCCATTTGTCTTTCAAGGTGAGGATTGATCATCTTACTCCATATCCGCTTTCTTTTTTTTCTTCTTTAGGTGCATAGATTTCATTATGTTTATCATATCTTGTAGGTCTATATAAGCAAGTATATACCATGTTCGTCTTTCTCCTTCTGGGATACTTACTCAGTGGGCCTCTTTTTTACTCTTCAGACCCTATCACACACAGATCCCTGGGATCCTAACTCCCTGGGGTGGACCAGAGCATGCTTCGTGCTCAGAACCTCTGTGCCTCATGACCTCTCTTTGTGGTTGACATTTCACCAGCTCCTCACAGAGCCCAGCCATACCACACTGTGAACTTGTCACCCTCAAGACACTCTTTTTCCATTTGTGCTAGTTCTCCAGGTTTGTTATTTCCTGCCTTTTCAGAGTTTACCTCATAGACTAGTGGAGCCACTCTTAGGACCTGTTCCTGTGCTCACCCAGCATGCACTGCTGCATTTCTCTGTCAGCAGTAGCCTCGGACTCTGGTTATCCATGGATGTGTTACCACGATTTTGCCCTGACTGAGCTGAGTAAATATTTACCAAGTGCCTGAGCAGCTCTGGTGACGGGCTCATAGCAGGCACACACGTCTGTTTGCATAGCAGGTGGCATGAGAACAACTGGTGGTCTGGCAAGCGCACCAAAAGCCCGCAAAGGGACTCCAGAATGTCTGCCCAGGACTGTGCCCTCTGGCTGCAGTGTGCTGCCAGCAGTAATGATGATATAATGGCTGCCCTTACACAAGACCCCTTTTCCACAGGTTTTCAAAACAGAGTTCTTCAGAGTGGCCAGTGCTTCCGTGAGGGGGTTAATAGTGAACAGCAGGACACCAGTTTTGGTAAAATTTCAGTGCAGGTGTAACAAGGATTTCATAAAATTGTATACCAGCTCAGGGTTGCAACCTTTGCTTAGGTTTTGATTCGTTCCTAGATGAAGGAGGGATAGTTTTAATACTAATGTCAAAAGGCAGGTATTTTTGAATGACTTGCTTTGATGAGGTTTCTGAGGAGTTTGTTTAAGATGAGTGAATGCGGGTCATGCTCATTAGAGGATACATGCTGCACACTCAGGCACACATGCATGAGTTGGTAGCAAGATTGAAAGTGTATTTTTTTTTTTTACTAAGTGGTCATTGGACATTATTTGAGTGTCGGTTTCAGTTACCTGTGTTCAGAGTTTATTTGTGGGTGGGGCATGCCTTTTCTATCCCCTGTGCCAATAGCTGGTAATTCCTTTGAAGCTGAGAACCACCTTTGATTACTGGAAATGGTGGAGTGAATGATCCAAGCAGGCAGAGAAGGGAAGGAATAAGATGTAGTTGAAAGGTGTGGAGTCAAGGTCCATGCTCCAGTGAGACCCACCCAGGGTTGTGTGTATGAAGCCAGTGTCTGAGGGCATAAATTAAATTTCTTTATGGCATTTCAGTATCGACTTTTTTAGGGTTGTTCCTTCTCTCCCCCATCCTTGTACTGTGTCATCCCCAGGAATCCCCTTCCTACTGTCATGTCTCATGTTTCCTGTTACATTGCCTATCCCCTTTAAGCTGTACCCAATGTCCACATAAAATCTGGCATAGATGAATATTATAATTTCAAGATCTATCCATCTTCACATAAAACTCATATATGTCCATTTTCCTTAACTTATGACCCAGCAATACCACCCCTGGCCATATATTCAAAGGACTTTGCATCCCACCACAGGGACACTTCCATATTTGTGTTTATTCTCTTGAGTAGCAAGGAAATGGAGTCATCTTAGGTGTCTATCAAGAGATGAGTGGGTATGAAAGTGTGGGCATATACACGGTGGAATTTTGTTCAGCTGTTACAAAGAAGACTCTTATAGAGGGTCTCCTTTTAAGCCCTGGTAAAGCCTTTCTGCAGAAAGGTTGGCTGATATGACCCTGGTTTTTCTTTTCCTTCCAGTCTTCGAGCAGCGACAGTGGTGGGAGCAGCAGCAGCAGCAGCAGCAGCAGCAGCAGCATCAACAGCCCAGACAGGGCCAGTGGGCCAGAGAGCAGCCTGAGCCAGATCATCCCCGGATCCTGCCCCAGCACCCCGCAGCCGGTGCCTGAGCAGTCTGCCCTGTGCCAAGGCCCTTACTTCCACATCAATCAGACCCTGAGGGAGGCCCACTTTCACAGCCTCCAGCACCGAGGCCGGCCTCCAACATGAGGCTCCGGCAGCTTCTTGCCTTCTGTGAAGGGACAGCACTGTGCAGATCGGATATTTCAACTTAATAATTTGTTTTTAAAAGTTGCACACAGAAAAAAAAAATGCCTGTTGGCTTTCAGTCTATATTTGAGTACTGGGTCAGCAGGCAGCTGTTTACTTGGGTTTTTGCTGCACTATTGCAATTGCAGAGGGGCTTGGGAGCAATTTTTTATAGGATTCTTTCAAGAGAGGGCATCAGATCCACGTCATGGCAGTGTATGAGGAAGTCTCGTCTGACTGATTTCCACATCTGTCAATTAGACGCTGTACTGTATGTAAAAAGGCCTCTTAAAAATGCGGGATCTTCAATTTTTTTTAATTCAATAAACTAGTAAAGAAAATCTAATTTCCATGAAAAAAAAAAAAAAGTAAGTTTTCTCCCCAAATATAGGAAGCTTGACTCAGTGTTGCACTGAAGTTAACTGCCATACTACCTCTTAGTATGTAGCTGCCGATGGAAACGCACTCCCTTGGAACAGAACAGTTGCCCGCTCTGAAGACCACAGAAGTCAAGCACCTTTTCTAGCTGTGTATGGTCTGACTTACATTTGTATTTCCAAGGAGAATGTCACTTCTGTATGTTTTCTTCTAGTCTGCACCCCAGACGCTACAGAGAACACTGCAGTTCTCAAAGTCAAGAAATACCTAGTAACTATCTTAGGAACTTGTGTATTAACAGCTTAACTGCTAACCCCTTGCAGTACCCATGACCAAGGCAGTGGTGTGCCGATGAAGCACAAGCTGCCTGATAGCTGAAGGAAGAGTGAGGATTTAACTCATGCTTAACAGCACCCCTGCCCTGCTAGGGGGCCACATTCTATCATTGGAACCGGAAAAATTGGTGTGGTGTAGAAACGAGCGGAGGCGCCTCTAGGGAAAACAGTGTGGTAGTATTTAATTAGAGAGCCTGGGCATTGCTACTGTGCTACTTCGTCATACTAGAGAGCCAGGTGAGCTTGAATAATGATGGTGCAGGCGAGTCGTCGTCCTCACTGGCGAGCTGTCTGAATAAGGAGCCAGGATGCACTGGGTCACCTACTCTGGAGAGTGCCGGGGGGCCAACCTGCCGTTAGATGAAGAGGAAGTGCCTTAAGTGTCCACCCGTAGCCTCCGGCCTGTTCCCCCTTCACTGCAACTCACTCGAGGCCACACAGCACAGGCAGCAATGTTGAGGAGCAGGGATGGCTCTAGTAAAGGGTCTGAGGGACTTATTGGCTCAGAGCCGGTTATACTCTGATACAGCTACAGTCTAAAGGAGGCCCATGCCAGGAAGAGTGATCATGCAGAGCCTTCCATGGTGTGCTCCTCTGACAGCCACAGCATGGAAAGGCCAGCCATGTGACATGGGAACTATTGTCATGAAGCCCAGAGTTCAGAAAGTTTTTTTTTTTTTTTTTTTGTTTTTTCTTTAGGACTGTTTTCCAGGTTTTAAAACCAGATGTTTGCCTGCACTGGGGACCTCACTGGGTTTGCTGGCAGGGAATGTGGGAGAGGATATTTTGCTGGAATTCTAACAGTAAGGCAAACAGTGCTGTGGGAAGAGAAGCTGTCAAGCACACATGTACACAACACAATCCAGAAATACCCAGGAGGGCTCCGGCAGGCTTAATGGATGCGTCCTACTGAAACAAAACATGTATTAATAAACCATGCTTGAGGAAGCACGTTTCTTCCCATCTTCCACCCCACTAAAGGCACAGGCGAGACCATCTGAAGACAAAACGGTCTTCCCATGCTCTGATCACAATGCTGGGGTGCCAGTCAACAGTCGTCACCTCCACCCTACAAAATGCAAGAAGCCATCTCCATCCTGGGCTGTGCTTTTTTCACAGCCTATGGTCTGGGTCTGGGTATCTATTTTGAGGCTGTTTGCTCGAGTCAATGGGGATCTTTGTATGAGCTCAAGCTAGTAAAACCTTGTACTCTCTTACTGCGCCGCCATTAAAAGCAGCCTTAGTGCATTGCCGCACAGTGCCTGATTGCTTATTTCTAAACGAGCTGGCGAGGGTGGGGCTGCTGAGTTGGGGAGGGGGTTGGGAGAACCAGGAGAGCCTCTTTTATTGCCACTAACCTGGGCTTGTGGTTCCATGCCTCTGCTGGTTGCCTTTGCCTTTCTTGTGCTTGTCATGCTCAGCGGAAGGAGTCCAAACCTCAAGACAAGAAAGAAGATTTCATTGCAGGGAACAGGCAGCAGGCCAGGCAGAGCCTATGCGCTCCTCACCTTATCTGACTGGAGGCCAGTGGCAGTATGTTATGGGGTTCCTGGGAGTTGAACGTGCTGCTTCGGGAGGCAAACTGATTCTCTGTACCAGCAACTAATCCAAATAGAACCTGCAGATAAGAGAGGGAGGGGCACAGTGAATGCCACCCGAGAGAGTAACTTCCCCAGTGAGTTACCTCTAACATCGTTTGGGGGAATACACTTTTAAGTGTTAACTTTTTCAAAACTACCTTAATCAGTATCATGAGTGAGAATCTCAAAGCCGTGTAGTTCTTTTCTAAAATTCACAGTTTTTTTTCTCTTTTGGTTTTCAAGACAGGGTTTCTTTCTCTGGGTAGCCTGAAACTTGCTCTGTAGACCAGGCTGGCCTCAAACTCATAGAGATTGAGTTCCACCTGCCTCTGCCTACTGTGTGCTGGGATTAAAGGTGTGCACCATCATGCCCAGCCCACATTTATTTTCTTTGTGTGTGTGTATTCATGAGAGCCTATGTGACCATCCAGCTTGTCCACATGCACATGAAGGTCAGAAGACAACTTTCTGGAGTTTTCTTCTAACTCATGGGTCCTGGGGACTGAAGTTGGTTGGCAGGTTGGTAGCACAGGAGTTATACACGAGGCCATCCTGCATATATTTCCGTGAGGCTTGTGTAAGTAAACTTCACTAACCCTTATCTCCAACATGGCTATTCTAGCTCATGGTATTTTACCCAATTGTCACCTAGAAAGTGGGTATTTATAGCTTACCCTGTACATGGAGAATGGAGCAGGTTTGGCTTATAATTTGAACCCAAGATAGACAGTCTCCTCTCTAGTTACACTGAGCATGGCTGGGACCCTACTCACAGAAGTCCGCTGTACCAGACGGTTAAGGTTGCTGTTGAGATGTGGTGTGAAAACATCCAGGTCAAAAGGGTCGATGAGGGCCTCCAGCCTGTCAGTCACTTTCTCAATTCTGGGAAGAGTTAGAAACATTATTCTCCACACACTCCAGGACAGAAAACAACCTGGCAGTATTTTACTGCGATAGAAACCCCAGAGGTGGGAATTAACCCAGCTGAGCTACTTTGTGTACTTAAGATACTCAGGCTGACAGGCTTATATCCAGTCCGTACCTACCACTTGCCAAATAGGACTGCGGTCTGCTGGCTTTACCTGGCTATAGAATTTATTCAGCAAGTATTTAAGAGAAACCCAGTCAACCTGCAGGATGTGGCAGGCTTTCTTTGGGTGCAGCTCAGGAAAGGGGCTTTGATGATCCTCAGCTTAGATTGCTGTCCTACGCCAACATACATGCTACTGAAAAGACTAAGATGGTCACAGCTTAGCACACAGGACCCTACAGTGTGAGTTGTTTCCCTTTGGCATGGCCTCAGGGCTGCCTGAGTACTCAGCTCATAGGTACTATGCACAGTGCAAGCATGGTGTTTATTGCTGTCCTGAACAAATACCTAAATCCTAGACTTGAAGTAGGGCTTCTACTGAGCGCTATACTCTTCCACCACTGTAAAATAGGAAAATCCCAAGAGGAGCCCTTCTAAGTAGGGTGTTTCCCACTAACTACATCAGGGAGAGGCTGCCTTGGGGATGCCCCAGTAGGAACAGTCACCTGGAGTCTGGCTTGCTCCGGCCACTCTTTACCTCCTCCCCCTTGCTGGTCAGAACGATGTTGAGGTAGCGCAGGTCATAGAGGAGCTGCAGGGCTCGATTCTGGGTCATGGGAAATATCCCTTCTTTCTGCAAGTGAAGGCTGGCTAGTGAGGGGTGGTTCTTCACATGCTTCCCTGAGCAGCTGCAGGTTCTGCTTGCACTACAGCTTGGTACAGTTTCCAAGGTGCTGCTGACATCCACATGGCCAGGTTGTCTCAAAGTTAAATAGAACCCTGGTCTTCATATCTCAGAGCATGGAAGAAACCCAGACCTTACAAACAGGCTTTGGACTGAAGGTGGCTATTGCAAAGGGGCAAAGCTTCTTGCCTGAGGAGAAGTATGTGAGCTCTGAGGTCCAGGAGAGACCAACACAAATTCTCCCCCAAGTCAGGACCAGCCCCGCCTTTAAATGTTCCCAGTGAAACAGGGTAAGTCAAGAGTTAAGGATAGGGTCAGGGAAGGCTGAGAGGCTCTAGGCCCTCTTCTCCACCCTAAAGGGAACCTGTAAATGCCGTAACTTCCCCCATCCCTTACTCTCACCTGACGGCTGGCAGGGTGGGATGTAGCTCATGGAAAAGAAAAGCCACTCCCAGCTGAGCAGCTCATCTGCTTACATTTGATCCTGAGTAGATCAAGGGCTTAAAGACTTGCCCAGAGCCTGCATGAGCAAATGGGCCCAAAACTCAGGCATTCTTACTGTGAAAGCTTTTTACCCTGTCCACAGTCCTGAATTATGACCTTTTTAATGACCAGTTTGATCTTGACATTGGGTCAACTCATCATTGCTGAATGGCTTTCCTGATAGGATGGAAGTATTTATGGGACCAGGGCCTGTGTTGGTCAATGATACCATTCTGTACCTTTTGTACAAACCACCCAAATCTGAGATTTGTTTGGGAAACAATATGGTCTGTTTGTTTGGGAAAATGTTTGGGTACCCACCTTTATCTGTTTTTCCTCTGTGAGCTTCTCATAGGCAGCTATGACTTGGGCCACACAGGTCTTCAGCATCTCCTGCAGGGTCACCTTTGGCAAGGCATGGCCTCCAACCCGATTAACTTCCTGGCATAAGCCAAACAGGAAGGACTGTACGTACCAGGACGGCTGAAAGATCAGAGCACCACCACATTGCTAACTGCACCCGGAAGCCACAGGTACCCCTCACGGAGGATGTTCACCTTGACCTGTCAGGTCAGGCATCTAGCTGCAGAGCACCAAGCTGCTCCTTAGAAGGTATGTATGGAAATAGCTTCCCAGCCCCATCCTGCTTCCCGAGAGCACTCTGTTCCCTTTTGCAGCCCAAGTACCTGTGACAGTGGGACGGACTCACCTGAGTAGGCAGGCGGATCTTGGATGTGATGCTGTTGCCAGACTCTGTCTCCTCTTGAATTTCTAGTTCATCCCAGTTGGTGGCAGTGGCCAGGATTGAGCCAGCATCACTTAAAAGCAATGATTGAGTGAATCCACAGATCAGAAACTGGTGATAAAAAGACAACAGCCGCTTTAGCTCCTCAGGGCCCTGGCAAGCGTTACACCATGTGTGGGTGGTAGGCAGCCAGCACCACTCTCCGGGCAGGTCTCTCAGCAAGGAGCATGTCATTGGTAGCCATCTTAAAATGCCAGATACCACCTGACTGGGGGGCACAGAAGAGCAAGAGGCAGGGTTCCCTGTCCAGGCTTGCAAGAGGAAAGCATGCTGTAAAATCTAGGCTGAGAAACAGAAAAGCGTTTTACACCAGAGCTGCCTGGCATGTTACAGCAGCTATGAATTAAATATTACTCTAAACCTTACTGAGGACCCCAAGAAGTCCCGCCACTCACTTTCACAAGCGCTGAGCTCCAGACCCGGTAGGCCACCACACTTTGTTGGAGCAGAATTTCCTTCACTTCCTGCCACTGGCCCTGCACAGGGAGCACATCTTGAGCTTTCCCCTTTCCCTGTTTTTTCAGAGCCCTCGCCTCCCTTGCAGGTTTTTCAGAGCTGCCACACTTCCCCACAATACACTGCTTCAGGTGAGGGCACAATTCTCCCAGGGACTGGCAGAGTCTGGCCATGAAGAGGACCGCATGCAGTTTGGTGCCGTGGAGGATATCCTTCTGGTCTTGTGTGGCTTCTTCAATAGTCTGCAACTCTGCCTGGATGCAGCCCACAAGCGACTTGATGCAGGCCACGGACTCAGTCCGCAGCATGTCCTGCACAGTCCCAGCATCTGCATATCTGTCAAAGGCAGGGCTCTTAGCCTGGTGTGTGGCGGTGGGGTCCTTGTGCTGTGCTGTGTCACTGGAGGGAAGGTAGGCCAGGAGGTCATCCAGTTTAACCTTCAGCTTGGAATCCAGGGCAGAACAGAAGTTCTGTACACAAGGGCTGACTGCTTGGGCTTTCATGGAGAGGCCACTATTGGCAAACTGAGTGCGGTTTGCCACGCTGACCCAGGCAGCATCGGAAGACAGGTCGTTGGGACTCTCAGACCAGAGGAAGAGAGACATGTTGTGCTCGAAGTGAACGTGCTTATTCGATGTGGGGTGGCTGGTCTCAAGTTCCTGCAAAGCTGAGACTAGAAGCTCTTTAGAGCTGTTGGAGATGGATTCAAAGCCTTCTCTGGTCAGTGTCTAAAGAGAATGAGAGCAGAGTTTTAGTCATCACTACTTGGTGGAAATTTCCAAGTGAGCTGAAATGGTGATTAATCCTGGTGTTCTGAATGTTCTCTACCACACTCAGTGACCTGAGAGCTTGACCATGACATGCCCATGCAGGCTCAGCTGTTAACACCCTGGTCTCAGGTGGTGGCACTACTTTGGGAGGTTGTGGCAACTTTAGTAGAAGTGGGCCTACCTACAGCAAGAACACTGGGGGAGCGTTCTTAAGATCTGTATCTTTGTCCCACTCACCCCCATCTGCTTCCTGTTTGCCATAAGGGGAAGAGGCTCTGCCACATGCTCTGGTCACCTGTTTGGGCTCACCACAGGCCCCAAACCAGCCAGTGACCATACACCGAACTCTCAAAACTTTGAGCCAAAATACATCTTTCTTTGGGTTACTTCAGTTAGGTATTTGGTCATAGAGGTGAGAAAAAGAGCCAATACTGTCAACGCAGCGTG